CTCGCCTAAATTCACTACGTTCAATTACCCACCATAGACTCCGGTCAGTCAAAATTACTATTTTGAACTGTAGGTGGCGGGTTTTTCCGAACAAACAGAAAAAAAAAAGGAGAAAGATGAAAGTTTTTCCCCGGTCCGGGATGAAAACACACCCAAAAACCTAAGTTAAGACCCAAGAAGGGTGGTGTCTTACCTTGCCTGTGCTGTCCCAGAAGCAAGAAGCCAATGCTGCTGTGGTGACAGGGTTTGGTGTGCCCGAGAAACCTAGACCCGAGCCGAATTCGGGGGTGACAAGCTTGAAGTAGGACCGAAACAGTTCGCAAGAGGGCGTAGGCCGACCGAAGCGAAACCTGGGAGCTTCCAGGAAGTACTAGTGGAACAGACAATCTGCCCGCAAAAATGCCGAGACTGACTTATCGCCTATGGGCAGAGGCCCCTGTGGTCGTTTGGGCTGGGTCAGCAAACAAGGCCTGACCTGCTACGACGGGGCCTAACCTGAAGAGACCCTGCTCAATAGAGGCTTATCCTGTTTGCCAGGGCCGTAACACAAAAACATGTGTTTGGTTCCCCGTCTAGAAATCCTGGTACGGTTCTCGTGGCAACTCAGCGCTCAGACCGGGCAGAGAAGCAATTCCTCCTGATCCTCCGGACTGACAATATTTGCCAGCCGGGGGATGACGATCGGTTGAGGATCGTGTCCAGGGATTTGGTTCTTGGCGAGAAACCCGATTCGTGTCTTTAGTACAACTTGATTGTCCATAAAAGTGGCACAACCGTCCACGAAGGACAGTGCGCGCCTAGTTCTGACTGGCGCCTACCTGAGGCAAGGGCCAGTAGGAGTATTTTCCACATCAAAAATTTGAGTGGTGCTGATTGGAGAGCCTCCAAGGGCGGTCTGCTTAGAGCAGACAACACAGCTGACGAGTCCCAGTTGGGCGGCTCCGTTGTATGGGGTCTTGGCGTCTGGAAAGCAGTAAATAGTCTCTTAATAATAGGACAATCGGCTAGTCTTGTTCCCGTACGTTCTGAGTGGTGGGGGACAAGACTGACCTGTAGCCAACGCTCGCTGCGTAGGACAAACCCACTTCATCAAACAGGTGGATGAAGGAGCCTGTTATCTGGGCAATATAGGGATGGTATGGATCAATCTCCCTTCCCGCTACGCCAATCAGTGTATGCTGTATGCTAGAAATGTAGGCCGTGTAGGTGGAATCCCTGTTCGCCCTGGCCAGGACGTTGGCAGCCCGCTCAGGCTTTCGTATGTGCGGGTCTACTGAGAGCCTCTACGCGTGTAAGTGATACCTGCTGGGCTCGTTGGTAGTGCGCCGTCTGGTTGGGACGGCAGGTCCGGTAAGTTTGGAAGCACTGCTGACGCTTTGGAGCTTTGCGTTCCGGGGTGCGGCAAAACGGTCCAACCTTGGACCGTCCACAGCCGAAACAGCCTGGAGGCTACCCACTGGGGTATCAGCCACTCCGTGTTCTGGAGACGGAGCCGCCCTGAAAGGGCGTTGCCAGACTGTTCCTCACCCCTGGAAGGTGGTGTGCGGCTAGCTCCACATTGTATTCCAGGCACCAAAGGAAGATTTTGCTCCGCTAGGACTGACAACGATGGGGAATGCATCCCCCTCCTTCTTGAAGGAGACCACCGCTGCGTTGCCTGTGCGCAGCAG